CCCAGACACGCGTCCACTGCTCCCCCAGACATGCGTCCACTGCCCCCGGACATGCGTCCACAGTCCCCTGGACATGCGTCCACAGTCCCCCGGACATGCGTCCACTGCCCCCCGACGCGTTCACTGCCCCCCCAGACACGCGTCCACTGCCCCCCTAAAACTGCCCCCTGGACACGCATCCACAGCCCCCCGGACACGCGTCCACTGCCCCTCCGGACACGTGTCCACTGCCCCCCTAGAACTGCCCCCTGGACATGCGTCCACTGCCCCCCCAGACATGCATCCACTGCCCCCGACACGCATCCACTGTCCCCCGGACATGGGTGCACTGCATACACAGCAGTGGCACCGAGGCCTGGCCAGCTCCCTGCAGGGTACCCATGGGCGGGCAGGCAGTCCAGGGGCAGTGCGCCCCACGAGTGCCCAATCAGGGCCTGCACAGGTGGCCTGAGCTTCCCAAGGATGGTGGCTGTGCTGAGCCACACCATCTGGGCAGCCCCCGGCCAGGCCAAGTTCAGAGTGCAGTGGCTGCGGGGCTCTGGTCAGGCCTGGACGCTCTGCACAGGTGGGATCTGCTGTCTCTCAGGGCAGCCGTGGCCGTGCTGGAGCAGGACATTCCCGGCGACGAGAAGGCAGCAGCATGTGCGCTCAGAGAAACTGTGGCCTCCGCCAGCCGACACAACACAGGATGTGCCCGTGTGTGCAGCCTGCTTCGCCCTTGCTGCTCTCCGCCGCCGCTGCGGGCGCTCTGCATGTGGAGGGTAGGCTTTTGCTGCCAGGAGCATTTCTGCTGGGCTGGGGCCCCACGGTCACCACATGAGGGTCTAGCGAGGTGACGACGCTGCCCCATAAGAGCCCACGAGAGCAGCTGAAACTAAGCAGGGCTGGGAGATGCCAGTTTGGAAGGAAACTTCCAGAAGCCTCCATCTCATGCCTCTCACACCAGTGATGTCTCCACTGCAGACACTCCCACGGCGAGGCCGGTCTGGGCGTCTTACCTGAGGCAGCAACACGGACCTGTAGGACCCAGCAGGGGTGCACCCTGGGGCCACAGTTCAGCGTAAATGCGAGTTCTGGGACTGACACAGCACACCAAAGGTGATTTCTAAACAGGAAGCTGGAGCCGAACCAGTTCTCACTCCCCGTGTACCCCATGGAGCCCGGAGCGCCGGTGCCACCTGACGCCCCCTCGGGGCACGGAGAGAAGCCAGGCGTGGCAGGAAGCAAGCTGCCCTCTGTCCATGGGACAGGGTCTGATGGGCATTGCCGCTCAGACAGACTGGGCTCCAGGGATGAGCAAAGGAAAACAGGGAGGCCTGAGGGAAAGCAGCTACCTCAGCCCATCTGCTCCAGGAGGGGCTGCCCTGGGAGTGTTCACAGGTGACTCAACAGGAGGAAGAAGCCTGGGTGAGAAGGGTGTCCTGGCCTGGCTGTCGGGGGCAGCACCACCGACAGGGGTGCTCTGGCCCCCAACACCCAGGGAGAAATGCAGGCAGGGCTGGTTCCACCTGGGTCTGGGGAAGGCCAGTGTGGACTGCACACCACTGCTGTACCCATGGGCGGGAGGCACTGGCGGGGCCACACCAGGGAGAAGCAGGACGCGGGGCCTGGACGCTGCCCACCAGTGACTGACGCAGGAGTGCCAGGCATGTGGGCTTATCTGAAAGCACACCTGTTGGGTGCTGCTGCGTGGGCGGAGACAAAGGACAGGTGCATCCGCCCCCACAGTGTGGGCGCGGCTGTGACAGGGTGAACAATCGTGCTCCTGTGCTCGCCTGCAGGCACTGCCCTTCCTCCCTGCCCCTTTCCTCTCCACAGGATGCGGGCAGCGGCCCCTGTGTAGGCTGCATGGCAGATTGCTGTGGCCAGGCTGACTGGCCCTGCTGACAAGGCCCAGCTTTAGGACCTGAGCAGACTGGGCTGGGCTGGGCAGGTAGGGTCGCCACGGGCCTGAGAAGCAGACAACAGGCGGCTTCCCGTGCAGCTTGCAGGCGCCACCGGCAACGCTGGCTTCAGACACCTGCTTCCAAACACACCAGGTGCCACTGAAACTCCTGAAAAGGAAAAGCCCCTAAGGCCAAAGAAAAAGAACCAAACAATTACAGCTGCGGCAACACTGAAGCTCCCGAGTGGGAGGAGGAAGCAGCACAGACATCTTCCAAGAGGGTCTGGGGGGCTGGGCACGGGGGCTCACACCTGTCATCCCAGCACTTTGAGAGGCTGAGGCGGGAGGATCGCTTGAGCCCAGGAGTTTGAGACCAGCCTGGACAACATAGTAAGACCCCGCCTCTATACAAAATAAAAAAGTTAGCCAGGCGTGGTGGTGCACACTTGTAGCCCCAGCTACTTGGGACGCTGAGGGGGGAAAATTGTTTGAGCCCAGAAGATGGGGCTGCAGGGAGCCAAGATCACCACTGCACTCCAGCCTGGGCAGCAGAGCCAGGGGCTGTCTCGGGTGCTCCCCTCGCCCACATCTCGAAGGACAAAGCTCTTGGGGTGACCAGAGCCCTTGGCAGGCCTTTCTGTGGGACGGGTTCCCTCACTATCCTCCCCTTTGGCACAGGTCCCACAGTCTGTAGGAGCCGCAGGCAGCCAGGGTTCGTGACCACCAGGCGGACGGGTGGCCTCGCTCCCTCCTGAGCAGCTTGCAGGAAGTAGAGCTCATTTTGTAGATAATTATTACACTATAAATACACATCTAAAGACGGAAGAATGTAAATTATGGCCCACAGAAAGTTTGAAAGGGGCCTCCTAATTCCTAATTTAAAAATATTTGTGTCCATTAAAGAGAGACGACCTCTGGCTGGACTTGTCTGGGCAGTTCACTCCTGTGTTGCGT